GCAGGAATGTCCCCAGCAAATGTCATGATTATTTGGCCAGTTTGTGTACAGACCTCTTTGTTGTGACTTGCCCTGCAGGCGGTGCTGGAGGAAAGTTGATGACAAACATGATTCATCTCCTGCAGGGAGCATGGATGTTACTGGTACAGTCATGGCCAAAAATACTGGCACCCCTGCATTTCTGTCAGATTACACTTCTCCCAGAAAACTGCTGCAATCACAAATTCTTCGGTATTCTCATGTTTATTTCTTTTGATTGCATTGGAATGACACAAAAAAAGCAGAGGAACAAAGCCAAAAATGGACTGAACAGAGTTATTGAAACCCTCAGCTTAATATTTGGTAGCACACCCTCTGGACAAACTAAATAAAATCAGTCACTTCCTGTAACCGTCAGTGGGTTTGTTCCACCTCTTTACTGGAATCTTGGACAACTCTTCTTTTGCCAGCTGCTCCAGGTCTCTCAGATTTGAAGGGTTCCTTCTCCCAGCTGCTGTTCTGAGGTCTCTCCACAGGTGCTGTATGGGATCTAGACCTGGATTCATTGCAGCCACTTCAGACTTCTCCAGCACATTGTCTGAAACCACCTCTGGTGCTGTGTGAAGTCTGCTTTGGGTGATTGTCCTGCTGTATGACCTATGACCTCTGACAGAGACGAGACCCAGCTTTCTGACACTGGGCCCTACATTGTGTCCCAGAATTCATTTGCAGTCTTCAGGTTTCATAATGCCATACACACAGTCAAGACATCCAGTGGCTGAAGCAGCAAAGCAACCCCAAAACGTCAGTGAACCTCCAATGCGTTTGACTGTAGGGATGTGTTCTTTTCTTTGAAGGCCTCATTTCATTTTCTGAAAAAGCAGTTGAATGATGTGCTCGACCAAAAAGCTCTATTTTAGTCTCATCTGTCCACAGGACATTCTCCCAGAAGGATTGTGGCTTCCTCAGGTCAGTTTTAACAAACTTCAGTCTGGCTGTTTTATGTCTCTGTGCCAGTAGTGGGGTCCCCCTGGGCCTCCTACCATAGCGTCCCTTGTCATTCAGATGGCGACGGATAGTGCAAGCTGACACTGTCGCACCCTGTGCCTGCAGATCAGCTTGGATTTGTTTGGAAGCTGATCGAGGTTCTTTATCCACAACTGGAACAAGCCTTTGTTGCAACCTGTCATCTATTTTTCTCCTTCGTCCACATCCAGGGAGATTGCCTACAGCACCATGGGCTATAAACCTCTTGACAACATTGGCACAGTGGACACAGGAACAGCCAGATCTCTGGAGATGGACTTGGAGCCTTGAGACGATCCAGGCTTTTCCACTAATGTGGTTCTCAAATCCTCAGACAGCTCTTTGCTCTTCTTTCTTTTGTCCATGCTCAGTGTGGTCCACACAACACAAAGGCTGAGTCGACCATGTTGACAACTTTTCAGCTTGATCTTGCCCTTGAGGCACCAGGTGACACCTGTCCATCGGTTTGCAGCTGATACAATGATCCAAAGTCAGGCTTGGTGTGGTGGGCTGCAGGTTCAGCTGATAGCAGCTTCCTGCCTTTGGTCGGTACAGTCACCTCAGGAACAATAAAACACAAGTACATTTTCCAATTGCACTTGCACCTACGAAAAAAACCCCCTCTTCTTTCTCTCTGAGGTTAAATTTAGAGCGCTGCCGTACATCCCCTTTCGTTTCATCTCATCTGCTCTCACCCACATACTTCCTCTGCTAACGTTCAAGTCACTTAGCTCAGGCTTTTAACCAGGCACACTTACAAAACTGAGCAGGCAGCAGCTCAGTCTTGACTGAGGACACTTCTGCAGAGGTGCCATTAGAGGGGCAGAACCATCACCCTCATGTTCCCAGATAGGATATTAACACTGATTACAATGTTTTTATGAGGGATGGGCAATGATTTTTGAATATTCAAAAAGTTATAACATTAAAAAAAAAGTAATATTTTATGTGACTATGGCTTTGTCTTTAAAAACAGCAACAAAAAAAGAGCCACTGTTTTCCTTTGCTTTTACCGGCACCTGGAAATAATACGATAACAAGGTCAGAATGTCATTTTACTACAGAGTCAAATACAAACCACAGAAACATGCAGAGACTGCAGCCATCAAAGGAAGGTGTCGGGGCACGACTAGATAAACTGTGTGATGATAGTGCATGTGAGCTGCGCAGTCGTTTGACAAGTGCTGAAAAGGCGTCTCTGACCACGGACACATGGGCAGCGCTTACAACTGCGACAATCAGATGCTGTTACAGAAGCACCTGGAAAATCCAGAGTGCTGTTCTTCAGACTAAAACAATGCAGGAGCGGTAAACTGCTGAAAACCTGGTGAATGTGTTTTCCACTGCCGGAGAGCACTGGGGACTTACAGGTAAAGTCATGTGCACATGACAACACCAGCAATATGGAGCTGGCCAACACGGAGCGGACTCTCAGCAACTATTCAAATAATTGTTGAATAGTTGCCAGTGAATATCAAATAGCACTTTTAGCTTGAAACGCCCATCCCTACCTGTGATTACTGATATCAATAACAGTTAAAACTTTTTTTTTTTTTTAAATGACACAAAGCTGAACTATTTCCAAGACTATTTCCTAAATTTTGGGAATATTTAAATTTCTAAGAAATTTAGCAGAGACACAAATGAGGATTCGTGCAAACTGCTGTAGCTTTTCACAAACAATTTTGTAATGATCATTTCAATAGTAATTTACTATCATTAGTAAGACTGAAAAAACTAACGTCCACTGGCATGCACAAATGTTTTCAGTTCTGGCAGTCAGACAGGGCAACATAACCTAACGAACACCAGAGTACAGGGCAGACTATCACTAGGCAACCCCACAAATCCTGTGAGAACAAATAACTTGGAGAAGAATGGATGGATAAGACAGCAGCTGGAGAAACGAGGATGACAAACTTGAGCTAGATGAGACAAAATCCTCTGAACTGAAACATAAATACAGTTTGTTCTCTTTTGTGGCACAGTTTGAAAGTTCACCGTTAGCTTTTGCTTTTGTTTCCCCCACTTACACTTGTGACGCCAACTGAATCTGATATAAACATGTTTCAAATGTGTTAAAAAGAAGCCGAGCAAGCAATTAGATCAGAGGGCTGCTGACCCTTATATCCCCAACCTACGGCCTCCAACTTTCTGGCTAATTATTTTTAGCAGAAACAAGGAGTGAACACAACACTGACATGTCATCACCTATTCAGGTGATATGCTGAATTTGTGATCAAACAGTTTCTTAGTTTCACACCCAGCAGACACAGGTCAACATGCTCCTCCATGTGTAGTGTGTCTGTGTCACCCTGCTGAGCCTCAGCCCAGTGCTCACTCTCCATTAGCTCTGGGTTTGGTCTCCACCACCTCCTGAGGGAAACCTCTGGAGCTGCTAAATGCTCCACTGTGTTCCCCAGCTGGTCTCTGACTGGCTCTGCCTCCTGGTTGCTGCTGAACAGCTCGTGGACAGCAGCTGTCTAGAGCGTCTGTTCTGAGAACAGTTTCTTCCTGCTGCGGCCCAGAGCCTCTCCAGAACAGCGGTGACACTAAACCAGAACAGTGATGTTGTGGTCCAACACTAAATGAGAATGAGCTGACACTCACTGTAAAGCGGCAAATGCAGCTGCCCATTCTCTGCAGGTTCACTAACAGTAATGAGACATCCTTCACACTGTTCTTACCTTTGACGCATATACAGTTAAAATATCAATTATAACCACTCTGAACACCAGTAATTGTATAATTTAACCTCTAGACTGTTGACACCAACCGAACCAGACTCAGTCTACCATGTTCTGATCAGTTAAGTTGACCACATCACAATTAAATACAGCCCAACAACCTTAATGTGTGGCACCACTTTAACTAATCAATCAATGTGCGCGCGCGCACGCGCGCGCACACACACACACACACACACACACACACACACACACCTGCAGACTGTTTGTACCTGATGTATGGTGGTGGAAATTGCCGTTTCCTCCGGGTGCATTGGCAGCATTGATGCCCAGCTGGGTGAGGGTGGAAGCCAGGTTCCCCGTGCTGCTCCCTCCGCTCAGAGAGGAGGATCCAGCGTAGCCAGGCTCGTCCTGATCCAGTGGGGTGGGCAGCGGCGAGGGGAAGTGAAGGCTGGAGAGGTCAGGGAGTGAGCCACCGGTGTTGAGGGCCGAGGGGACACTGTGAGCCAGCGTGGACGGCTGCTCCGGAGACGTAAAGACACTGGGAGGGATGGATGAAACATAGGTTTGGCTCTTCTCTGACGTTAACATATACTGGGAAACAGTGATACAATATGAAGTAGTATTTTCAGCAATAAAATTCAGTGATTCATACACAGCTCAGTTCAAAAATCCCTATTCCCACTTTGTTGTCTCAATTAAACATCTTCATTTTTAATGATGAACACCGAACCTTCTGTGGGTGGAAGTAATCTCAGTACTCTGATTTTATTTGGCAAAGGTTGAAAAGAACAGCTGATATTTGATGCCATTTGCTTTTCTGGTGACTTTTGAGTTAAAGATAAGGGACAAAAACAACAGAAGCAGCAGAGTGAGTGATTACTGCCTGAGGGAGTCTGTAAAAGAATCCCTAATCCCTGACATCCAATTTCAGGGCCACACCAAAGAAATGTACAAAGGTGGTTGTAACATAACGCTGTGTATCATGTGCTCTATGATTACAGTGTGTGTGCAGTGCTAGTGTGACTTACTTGATGCCAGGGACTTCACAGGACTTGGGTCGGGATGACAACAGAGGCAACTGGAGTGAGAAAACAGAGCAAAAGCAGTTCTGCCTTCATTTGTTCAAACACATAATCAGTGAGACGCTGCTCGCTCCGAAAAGCTCTGAAAATACACAACAACCTGCAGGATTTTAGATGTTTAGAGATACATTTGGTAATTACTCTCCAGAGCCCCACACAAATGTCACATTTTTGGAGAATGAGTATTAAGTTGTGGCTTCATACATATACAATTTGATGTATAAAAAAAAAGAAAAGAGAGAGAAATGGAGGCTTTACAGGTAGAGAAAGACTTGTGAAAAATTATATTCACTGTCAATCCAACAGCAAGATATTAATGACCACCAGTTAAAAAAAACATAGTAAGTAAATAATACAACAGTAAAATACATTTAAACAAAATCTGATTTTTATGACCTTACCTTCTTGGTGTCCCAGGGTTTGAGCAGTTTCCCCTCATCCAGCACGTTCTCTTCGATGGGAGGAACCGGGTACGGAAACACTGAGGGACAAAAGAACGGAGGTTTAATCCTCAAATACACAAGTATTTGAGTATGTTAGTAAGCATGAGAAAGCTGAGGTCAATTACTGTGAGCCTCATTAGTTTGATTAACGTATTCATGGACTCAAAACGGGTTCAGAAATAGTTTCCAAACCTGCAGTTGTTCGTCCACATTTGTGAAATGAGAAACTCAAAGTTAGGGTAAAAGTGTAAAAAAAAAAAAAATGTAGTAAGAGGAGAGTGTTTAAGCAAAATATGTGCATAAAACCCATATGAAACTCTGCACTATGTGCATGGCAGCATTGTTACACACAGACACGTGTAAGAAAAGCAGGGAGCAGGGTCAAGCGTGTAACTTCAGTTTAACAGTTTTATGTTTTGATTGGCACTAAATGAAAGAAATCTACACACAAAGTTCTCTCGCAGAGTTTTTCCTCCATATTTTGCAATATCACTAAACGTACAATGTTACTGACTCTTGTTTAAGCCCATGCATATTCTACTTGTTATTTAAAAGTAGTTACCATAAAAACACGCATATGCTATAAATAAAATGCCCAGGAGATTTTGTTTGTGCTTGACAAATCCGATCTTTAATCCAATCTTTTATTTAGACCCTGACAATGACGGGAAACTGCCCTAAAACCAGGCAGCAGTGTCTGTGTGAAAATGTTTGTATATAACTCACTTCTTCTGGCCTCTCCATCGCCTTGACCTGCAGAAAGACACAACAGATTTTACTGAGTTTACAGTCAGAACATCCCGACTCTCCTGGCAGCCAGAGGAAAACCTGTTTAGACTGCGATCTTTGTCCTGTGTGAGCCGTATAGTCAGGCCAGAAAAGTCAGGTTACCAGTGAACATGACCCTGCTTTACACCTAGGCTGTAAAACAACCCCCGAGTTCCCTGCGTGTCTTTAAGACATCGCACTGTTTTCACCTCCATCACTGTGGTTTTAAGAGGATTAAAACCACAGGATTATTCTGGCTGTGGCATCCCACAGGGATCACTACCTCGACCACTTTACTTTCATGCGTGCTGTCACACTCGGTCCTGTCTTCAAAAAAAAAAAAAAAAAAAAAAAACTCAGTGGTTGCCTCTCTGAACTTCACAGTCAAGGATACGGGATAGTTTTAGTCAAGTGATTTACTTTACACCAACATTTCCCATCTTAACAGTATTTATACTCGGCTATGTCCTTTACATTTTTAATGGTGGTTATTTGACTCTTGATTTAAAAAATTATCCTCATAGCGCGGCACTTTCCAAATACTGTCCTTAATATTTCTGTAAGGTGTCCAGCAAAACAAAACAAAAAAAAAACTAAGTGCTGTTTAGCACTAATTATGGAGAAAACTGAAAGGTCATTCAAAAGGTTGCTCCATTTACTCCCAAGTAAACATATTCTCATCACTAATATTACTATTTTAAGCTTTAAAAGACTTGAATTATAAATTTACGTTGACAGCTTTGCATGTTTACCTGTCCTGCTGTGACTAAAAAGCCATTAATTTGAAGTATCAACTGAAGATGGTTTCTATTTCCCCTGCAACTTTCAAAGTTCTTTCAAGGAATCTTCTCAAAAATTATTGAGAAATTATGAACTGTAAAATAAAGTGTTAGTAGAATTGTATGGGGGTAGAGCCTGGCTATTAGAGTCTATTTGATAAGTCATCTGTACTGTCCTCATATCTCAACATGTAAACATTTCCACATGTACTGTAGATTTCAAAGCAGGTTGTGCAGTTTATTTGACTTTTTTGCAGTGTATTTGTGTTTTTGTTTCAAGGTGTTCTCTTACCGGTGCGTCTGGAACTCTGGGGGACAAGGGTGGATCCTCCTGTGGTGAAGGGGTCTCCTGTGGGAGGGTTCATTACACTGGTGTGGAGGGCAGAGTCAGAGTTGGTCCTAAGGGGCGAGACAGACACACACACACACACACACACACACACACACACACACACACAGCATTAAGGGATGTAGCAGAGAAAACTACAGAAAACGGCCAAGAACAGTGAAGGCCAGGTGAGCCTTGATTCTCCAGCACAGTAAAATATCAGGATAAAACACAGCATTAAAAGTGAACATACCAACCACAGCTACGTGTTACAGTTAAAAGTCAACTCACATTTTATGTTTCTTTTCACACACACAAAACCAGGACTCAGAAACTAATGAATGCTAACACACACTGAAAGCAACATTCAGACAGCTACTCTAGAAACTTCACAAAGGTGTGAGCATTAACCAAGAACCCAGTGACTAGATGCACAGCTGTTTCTGGTTGGATTCTGCTGCAGAAATGACCCTGTGAGCTGATAACTGACATGCCTGATTAATTTAGCTGGGTCTTGGACTTTGCAGAAACATTTCACCACCTCGGGCCTTGCAGATAAAAAGCTAACAGAGAGATCTTGTGAATGATCGAAAGAGACAAGGAAGGTTAAAACACACGAGGGGGGAAGAACGAGCAAAGATCCTGAAAGTTAAAGGAGGATTTGTGATAGTTTGAAGGGCAAAGAGGCTTCAATCTCTTGATCAAGTCAAAGAAAGAAGTAAAATGCTCCAAAGTAAAGTTTCATACTGGACACGTTCAGACTTCCACCCACATATTTTTATTCTGTATAAGACTGGAGGAGGATGGCCAGCAGGAGGAAGAAGAGAAGGAAGTAAAGTGAAGAAAGGAGAGGATGAGGGGGATTCACCTGTTGAGTGCAGTGGTGGGGAGACGAAACAACTGGCTTTTATCCCCGTGGAAGTTTCCGGACCAATTCCTTTTCGTGATTGACAAGAACAAATGTTATTTTCCTCCACCGAGCAAGAACATCGAGAAGAAGACAAAAAAAGGGAGATGAAGAAGAGGAGCCTGGTCTCGGAAAGCAAATGCAAGCAAAGGAGGAGGAAGACAGGCAGCAAGCGAAGGACAGAAGGAGGCTGGCGTGTCAGCTGGCGAGACAGGTGCAGAGTCTCTGTGTGATAAATGTCATAAACATCTACTTATCAATGTGTCGGTCAGAGCTTAGTTTATGCTTCTGTGCAGCATCACAACTTAGGCATCAGGCTCCAAAAAATAAACCAAATCTGTCTTGTTTTGAACGACCAACCGTCCAAAATCTGGAGACATTCAGTTAACGATAGACGAAAATTGAGAAAAGTAGCAAATCCTGACACTGGAGAGATGTCACAGCAGTTGCTTGAAACTTGTAGCAGGGCCAGAAGAAAGTTGCTCCACAAGTCAAACGCAGAACTAATTAAACTTTGCTCAACTTGCTGTAAGCAGTGAGGGTTACTATCACTCAAACGCTGGTCTTGGACAATGCTGGGAAGTTGTAACACATTGTAAGGCTGACTAACATCATCTCCTTGGTCTTTCATAACATTTGTTTATAATTGTGAAAAATGTGGAGTAACTCCAGATTTATATCATTTAGTTGACACCACAGGCGAGCTCCATCCTGCTGAGCCAAGGAACTGGACTCGGTATTTGTTTTGACCAAAACCTCCAACTTGGCAGAATGAGTGGCTATCAAACCTCTACTGCTCTTGACTTTTTGTCTACAAACTCTTCTTCACTTGAAATTAGCCAGATTGATCCTAAATCAACGTGAAACAAAACCGTTACAAAAGACTTTCCCCACATTAAGCAACAAAGTGCAGGTGGGATTTCTCTCAAACTTTTCACCGACTGACTCTTCTACCTGATGAAATCTTGATGTTTAGAAATCAGTGGTTTGCGACCCAGTAAAGTGACAGCTGGAGGAGATGAACTTGAACACGATGGTTGCCAAACTTTAGGAAACAGTTGAATATCATTTGTCAGGTTATTGTGTTCGTGTTTGTGTGTATGTGTACAGCGGACCTTCTGTGACTGGACAGAGGCCAGTCTCTCTGTGAAGGGTAGCTGTTGTCTTGTTAGGGGAAAACCAGCAAGAATGCAGTCAAGTGAAAATTAAACGGCTGGAACATTGCAGAGAGCAGAAGAAAGCCAAAAAAAAAAGGCAGATTCCCGGAAGAAGAAGAAAGGGCAAAAAGAGGAAAAAACCTGAGGGTTCTTCAAAACCAACTCAGGTTTGGAGAGACGCCAGCTAAAATCAACTCAGTTTCCTGTTAAGTATTTAGAGGTTAGTGCAACTGCTGAAGAGGCAAACGAACCAAAGCAGCAGCCTCAGCAAAACCTTGGTGAAGCCTCAGTTTCACCTCATGTGGTTGTGATAGAGGACTGTGCAGCAGGGCTGACATGTAGACAAACACCCACACACACTCCTACGGGCAATTTAGAGTCACCAATCAACCTAAGCTGCATGTCTCTGGACTGTGGGAGGAAGCTGGAGCACCCGGAGAGAACCCACGCAGGCACAGAGAGAACATGCAAACTCCACACAGAAAGGCCCCGGGTCGGCCAGGGCTCGAACCCAAATCATTCTTGCTGTGAGGTGACAGCACTAACCACTGCTACACCATGCCACCCAAAAACATACTAACAAAACTCTAACAAGCCAACTAACAGCAACTACATTTAAACTGCCTCAGGGCTGCACTTCAGATTTACAACCAAGTCACACCTAGTAGCATTTTTGCAGACTTTACTACTAATGTGCTGTAAATTCATATACGACAGCAGGTGGACAGTGAAAGAACACTTTGGAGGAAGCTGGAGATGCAAATGAAATCTTGTTAGTTTGTGTCATCATTTTTTCACACTTAAGTCTTTGTCTCTTCAAGCTGTGACGAGCTCACAAACCCATGAGGCTGTTTTTACTTGGTCATTGTCTGAGGTGTCACTGAGGCTTCAGAAAAGCTTGGGAGCAGTGGGAACACAGAAGATGCTTTGGAAATAAACAGGTGTCCCTGCAGACGGCCAGGTCTCCACAGAGACAGACATGTGAACAGACAGTACCTTCTCCAGCTAGGGTCGGGCGGTGGGGACAGGTAGGCAGAGTTATACGGCGAGCTGTCCACCTGAGGCAACGGCTGGTGAAGGAAACAACACAGACATTTACACAGACACTGTCCTATTCAGTTTCTACTTCATTTCATGAACTAAAACTTCTCATTTTTGTTTACCCACTCAGAAGCTTCACAGTTAAACCAAAAGCTGAAACTGATCAACATTTTTTCCCTTCAAAACAGTTTTCAGCACCGACTGCAGAACTTCACACTCGCATCGTTTCCAGTTCCACACTTTCTCACACTTTCTCTGGAAGCTCGACTGAACAGCCCGGGTGGTGAATGCACACATTCGGGGTGATTTGAGGCTTTGCACAACTTTTATGCTCTTTTATAATTTGTTGACTCTGTAGGCTTCATTCAAACATATGAAAACAGTTAAGACATGTTTAAATCAGAGTGAAAAAGCCTCTGAAACAAGTTTTTCACTGCAGAAACCTCATATCCTTTAACCTGGGATTTCCCATAGGCTGAATTTCTTAAGAACCATGTAAGGTCTTGGTGTAAGGCTTTTCTTTTGTAATTCCACTGTATTTTAAGAACCGGGGTATTTTCGATAGACGCCATTTAAAAGGAATCAGCTGAACCGATCTTGACACGTTTGCGGTCTGTCTGGTAGGTGAGTAAAGTCAGTGGTTGTGGATGTATAGTGCAGATTCAAGGAATATGCATCATGTCAGCACAAAATTCTAATTTATGAACCTTTTACACAGTAGTCTGGTTCATGACGGAGCCCATCTAACAATGTTAGCAGACATACTGTGGGGGCCCCTGGCGCTCTGACTCCACGGGGCAGCGGCTCCTTTAGCTGCTGCTGGGACGATGTGACCAAAACTGCTTCTGGCACATCAAACCACACCACTGTTTTTGACCTGCTCCACTGTAGCAACACAACCTGTTTCTTCTCTCTAACCTCGATTCACTTTTTGAATTCTTACAACTCAGTTTGACTGTGTTTTGTTCTCGGATAAATCCTTTTGAATTCTTACAACTTCTTGACTGTGTTTTGTTCTCGGATAAATCTTCTTGTCCAGCTTTTGGTTTGTAACCTCTGATTCCAGCTCCCTTTGAATGTCTGTTTAATTCTGGCCACGTTAGTTGGTCCAACAATTGTTCCTCTTTTTAAAGGTCTGGTTGACCTGCTGTATCTTTGGCGGCTACTGTTGTATTTGCTGTTGTCCTTGTTGTAATGTGACATCACATTTGCCTGACAGATCATCGACATCTCTGTCACCACCCTGACAGGACCTGGAACAAGGATATAGTATCACCACAAATTTAGCTCCATGAATTTGCCCCCCTGAGTAGCTGGACAACAGTGGAAACAAAAAGAAGAACCCATGACACTGGATATATGTTGCTCTTAAAATAAAAACTAGCGCACACTCAAAGTTCATCTGTAACTGGAGGATAATCACTGCAAAAACTCTGGACCACTTTTCACTGCAGTGTTTCCGACACATTGACTAATTTGAGGCGGGCCAAAACAGTATCAACACTGAGCGGCCCATATTGATTTAAAATAGGTTAAATCTTATTTCAGCGTAGTGTTGTGCATAGCGCTCGGCCCCTCTGTGAGTTTCTCTCTCTCACACACAAACACGCGACAACTATGACAACAGACCGTCTGTGAACAGCTCCACCTCTCCGTGTTTGGTTTTTAACATGACGCCATCAATCACAGAGATCCTACTCTTATCAAGCTAGTAAGGCTAGCTAGGCTAACATTATAGTATAGCTGGTGGCCAGCGCGCTGCCTATAGCATGGAAGTATACGGACTGCTATGCAAGTGGATGAAGTTAATGCCAGCCCATAAACTCTGACGCTGAATGTTTGCCCCCTCAGTCCAGGGGAACATCGAAAAACACACGTGGGAAAGCTGATCAGTCCGATTAGTGTGATTAGCGATCCATTTTATTTGTTTAAAATATTTACTAGTGCTGCTGAAGCAGACAGAGAGGATCAGGAAGAAACTGAGGAGGGGGGCAGCAGCAGACATGGCTGCTAGTGCAGGAGGGACAGGTCAGAGGTAGCCTCCTACTGCATTAGTGAGCTGCTGCCACAAGTAGAGTTCAATTCATCCAACACTGCGCCATTTACAGTTTTGTGTTGCTTTCAGTAGTCAGTACTTAAATCATTCTTTCCCTTAGAATTGCAGCTATAACTCTCTGCAGTTATGTTTCTGGCCAACTACACTAAAGTCAAGCCTAAAAACCTAAGGACAAACTGTTTAAACCTAGATTTTCTGCAGAGCCACACACCTTTTTGACACAGTTTTCTGTGACTAATTTGTACCAATTCTACAGTTTCAGACAACTGAAATACAACTTAGACCAAAAAAGTCCTGTTAGCAGCGATGATACTCGGAGACAACTTAAATTCATGCAAATAGTGCCACCTCTGTGCCTTGCTCAAGGGCATTAAAACCTCTCCACTCACTGATAACATCATTATTAAGGCAGCTGCTTCAGTACAATCCATTAAATACAAGGAAAGTCCGACTCGAGGATCAGCCCGCAGAGGATCTCTGTAACAAAAGCAAGTTGTGTTGCTGCTGTGACACAAAATACATAACAACTGTCCTGCTGACAAGATGCCTCAAAGCAGACTTCACATGAGATAAAAGAACATTTCACCTCTGAGGTTTCACAACAGTACAATGTTGGAGGGTGAAAACAGACCTGAGAGGGGAATTCACAGACTTGCTGTCCAGCTGTTAAAGACCCGGCTGTTTTATGGATGCTTGAGGTAAAAACCGATTTCCTACTGACTTTTA